TCTAAAGTGAGCTCAGAATTTGTATCTTCAGCTGGGACCTCTCTCTAAGCTTCAGGTGTGGATAATAACTCCTTATTTACTATCTTTCCTTGAATAATATTTGAAAGGCAATTCAATTTTAAGACTGGCCTCACACTATCCCTTCCTCTTCCCTTCCGAACTCTGGTCCTCTACCTTTGCTCCCTTTTCCCAGGCAGTGACACCATATCCTACCTGGCACTTAAGGCAGAGGCCTGGAAGTCTTCCTAGACACCCACTTCTCCTCCCCCTCCATTCTCTACCTGAATCTGACCACCAGCAATTCCCATAGATTTTGCCTTTTAACATCTTGGCATTTCTCTCCATGTCCCATCACTACACAGCTCTGCACGGAGTTCCTTCCTGCTGCTGGGTTTGCACATGCTGGGCCGTCAGCCTCCATCAGCATCCCTCCTCCAGTACTCCCTCCACCTGGGTGACACTAGTTTAAGCAATACGAAGGAAGCTTTCCCGACTAGAGCAATCCCTCCCATTAACTGTCCCCAAAGCGCTTGTCCTTTTAATACTTATAATCATGATTTTCGGATCCTCAGATCAAGATCTGTCTCCCTGATTGGACCGTATGTTCCATGAGCCAGGGATTGTCTATACATTTTTCCCCTGTTCTGAAGGTACTGTTCAGAACGCTGGCAACAGTTAGCAAATATTCCTTCAATAAATGCAGGACGAAGCCTGCGTGTGCATGCAGACCCTAGCTGCAGGCTATCCTCTCTAACTTAGTAGTTTCTGCTAGGGACAGATACAGGGTCTGTGATAGCATCCGATAACAGAACTACTGATCAAGCTCTTTTTGTCGGTGTGATTTGATCAAAAGGCTTTATATCATTTCCAGATGTTTTCTGGAAGTAGGTTCTCTTCTTTCTCAACTTTGAAAAACAAGCTCTGCCCTATTCTTTCTAGTTGAGAGAAACCTACAGAACTCTAGGGTGAGGTTAAGGTCAAGATAAAACTTTCATTCTAATAATTATATAATATCATAACATTTAACTATAACATTAGAAAGCCATTATTGTGCTTCTGCTTTATCTGTATTAGTATTTTTTTACATAGGAAAATGTACACAAAGTGTGTATGGCCTTTTCTATCTTTGGTTTCTTATTTATTTCCCAAACCTTTCAATCATGTTAATTTAGGCTTCAAATATAAGCTGCTTTCTCCTAAATCTCATTTGTTAAAAATGATTCTAACACTTTTGTACTGTTTCGAGAATGTATATATTCGGATATGTGCATATAATTAAGAACTAATAGAGTACACTGAAAGCATAGGCAACAAAAGAAAAAAAAATAAACTGCACTTCATTAAAATCAAAAACTCTAATTTTAAATGCCTCAAGGAATACTATCAAGAGTGAAAAGACAGCACACAGAATGGGAAAAGTATACAAAACACATCTCTGATAAGGGTTTAATATCCAGAGTATATAAAGAACTCCTACAACTCCAGAACAAAAAGACAAACAATCCAATTAAAAATGATCAAAGGACTTGAACAGACATTTCTCTGAAGAAGATCTACAAATGGCCAATAAGCTCGTGAATGGAGGCCCAACATCATTAGTCATTAGGGAAATGCAAATCAAAACCACAATGAGAAAGGACTTCACAGCTCCTAAGAGATAAATCAGAGAAAGACAGATGCTGTATGATACCACTTACATGTGGAATCTCAAAAAGGCTAACTGGTAAAAATAGATCACAACAGTGGTTACTACAGGGTGAAAGGAGGAGAAAGAAGAGGTGTGGTTTTAAGGGTACAAACTAGCAACGAGTAGACAAGTTCGGCAGACTTAATATACAGTATAGGGAATATATGAAATATTTTATTATAATTGTCAATCTTGCTAATGGACTAGATCTTAATTACTCTTACCAGGAGAAAGAAATGACAATCATGGGACTTGACAGAATGCTAAGTACCAGCTACAATGGCAATCATATTACAATATATAAATATCGAAAATCAACATGTACACCTTAAATTCACACAATATTATATATCAAATATATTTCAAAACCAAAAAAAAAACCCAAAAAACAAACAAACAAAAAAAACCCATCCCCAAACATTTTGTACCTACTAGGGTAGCTATTAAAAACAAAAAACCTAGGGCCTCCTGGGTGGCTCATTTGGTTAACCATCCGACTCTTGATTTTGGCTCAGGTTAAGATCTCAGGGTGCTGGCGTGGAGCCCTGTGTTTGGCTCTGCGCTTAGCGGGGAGTCTGCTTGAGAGTCTCTCTCCCCCTTTCCCTCTGGCCCTCCCCTATTTCTCTCCCTACTTCCCTCCCTCCCTGCCAAATAAATAAGTAAATCTTAAAAAAAAGAAAAAAAGAAAAAGCCCTAAACAGAAAATAAGTGTTAGCAAGGATGTGGTGAAACTGAACTCTTGTAACTACTGTTGCTTTGCTGGTGGGAATGTACAATAATAGCACAAGTGCTGTGGAAAAGAGTATGGTGGTTCCTCAAAAGTTGAATGCAGAATTACAGTATGCTTCAGAGATTCTACTCCTACATATACACCAAAAAGAAATGAAAGCTGGGATTCAAACAGATATTAGCATACGAATGTTTATAGCAACGTTATTTACAATAGCCAGAGGTGGAAATAACCCAAGTGTCTATTGACAGATGAATGAATAAACAAAATGTGATCAAAGCTCTTTACTTGGTAAAGATAAATAAGGTAGTTATATTTTATAAAGTTGCAGCAAACAGAATCCGTGAATACTGAACTCTTCCTCCTAAGGGAAATACAGGGTTGGGTTCTCGAGAGCCACTGATCACTTTCATCGCCTGATCTATATACATAATTCTGTTGTATGTGTATTTCTGCTTAAGGGCACCTTATTAATAGATATATACCTGATTCATTAGCATTGAACTTACAGCCAACAACACTATAACTCATGCCTGAAAGACGCTTATCTAAGACCTGTATTTTTTTCCCCTAAGGAACGTCAGACTTCCTGCTTTAGGAACACCAGATAGCACCTCAGCACTCTGCTTAGAGGTCACTTTAAACAGTGAAATCACCAACAAAAAACACAAAAATGCAAAAAACGTGGTACTAAATAGACCATGAAAAGGCCACTTGTTCACAGTATGAGAGCCGAAACATAAAGGCAGAGAGTCTCGGCTGAAATGTACACATGGGGTGGGTCGCAAATTTATTGCTGCTCTGGGCACATCTGCGAAGGACTATGGAAGTGCCGTGTGTGTTCACTCTGGGGTTACAAATAAATGTAGCCAGAAGGTCGATTCACAAATACAGAATCTGCAAACGGTGAGCATCGATCCTAGGTACATATATTGGAATATCATTCTGCCATAAAATGAAATTCTGATACACGGTACAGTAAGAATGAGCCTTGAAAACCTTATGCTTCAGTGAAATAAGCCAGACACAAAAGGATAGATATCATATGACTCTACTTGGTTGAATTACCTAGACTAGGCAAAGCCATGCGTTAGAGGTTATCAGGTGTTCGGGGGAGGGGAGACTGTGGAGTTCTTGTTTGAGGGGTTCAAAGTTTCTGTCTGGGACGATGAAGAAGTCTGGGAGATGGATGGTGGGGAAGGTTGCACAGCAGTGTGAATGTGATTAATGCCACTGAACTGTACACTTAAAAATGGCTCAAACGGAAAATATTTATGTTGTATGTATTTTATGGGAAAAATTAATAGATGTACTCAGTAAGACCAAACAGATCATTTAAATCTCCAGTTAAAATCAAATGGAGACATGCTGGATGGCATGGAATAGAGATTCTTGTTTACCCACACTTTTAAAACAAGGAACATGTTTTTCTTTTGGTTTATAGACCATATTTGAAAACAGGCTTCCTATTTAATAATATCAGCTGATTAATGAGGAAAACAAGTAGATGAAAATGTGCATGTCAGTTGTTTGGCCTCACTTCATGCTTTTGGTGAAAAATTATGCAGTAGAATTATTCTTTCTGACTAATTGCCGAAAGAAGAGTCACCTTGAGAACAAACAACTGATGTTCCTAATTTATATTGGAATAAAACAGTCTTTGTGTCCTACTGTATTGGGGTGAACTGGACTTTGTAGGGAAATTGCTACGGTACCATTTAGGTATCTTGGCACTATGAGTCCACTTCTAATCTTTTGCATTGCTTTTCTGTCTTGTATTATCAATCTATTTCTTATCTGCTTCCTTCCTTACTGAAAACCCCTATTTTCCTACCTAGAGAGAGACATCTGATAGAATATGGCTGTGGTTCCTATCATAATTCAAATGTTCCTTTTTTATATTAGGTGTTTCTTGACCCAACAATTACAAAGAAGCACTGGTGGAGATAAACGTAAATGAAATGTACTAATGTAAACTTAACGTAGGAAGGGATTCATGGCCAAAGAAATCTCTCTTACAATTCTTTTGATCTTTTAAAATGCATCATAATACCAAAGATGTTTCACTACAGAGAAGCATTTTTGGCTTTTTTTTTATGATTTCAAAGAATGGTAATTATGAGTGTCATGAAAACACATTGAGCAGCTGTATACTGTTAACAATAGAACGACTATATGAATGCGTGCTAAAACTGGCGCTTCATACATTCCCATTTCCTAGAAACTAGAGAGTCCTCTCAAATGGAGTAGATACCAGAAGAGACTGTTTTCTATTAATCGTGGCATTGTACCAGTCAAGTTTTTAGAGCCAACTGGATCATCTTTCTTTTGGGACAATTCCCACATACTATTATATGAGATCTATATATACTGATTTATATATACTCAGACATGTGCATAGTAATTCTGCAAAAAGGAATTTTTAAATCCTTAAATGATAGGATTTTTTTTCCTCTTAAAAATGCTATGTGTCAGTGGATTCTTTCACAAATATACATGTGATTTATATTTAGAAATCACAAAAAAAGCATTAACAAATAACTCTGCAGTTTATTTTATGAAGGCTAATTAATAGGTACTTACTCATTAAAGACTAGGTCTGGCGCAAAATAGAGAAATTGGCTGTTTGTATGTTTGTACGATCTCCAGCTCAAGGCAAATGATGATAGACACATCCAAGAATACTGGATTAGGGTAATTTGGTCCTCAAGAGGCAGGTTTCTAAATCCTGAAGAACAGAACAATTAATCACAGAAATACACTTAGCATTTAAGTACATTCCAGGAAGAAGCTTCTTAAGGCAACCCTACACAGTCACCTGTCTCTAACAGACTTAATTTAGTGCAATAGTCATTTAAGGAGCACCCACCCTGGGCATAGCCCTATTCAACATTTCATTCTAAATGCACCTTAAATTTTCAATGAGGGTGACAAATAAAACCAGGGAGCTCAGGCAGTTTCATTGTGGGTAACGTCTAAAACCCGTGGTTAGACTGGAGGAATTTATATTAACCTGTAAAACTTGCTTCATTCTACTAACAATAATATTAAACTAAAGAATATTTTAATAATTAACTCCTGCATATCCGCTATCATGGTGGAAGATTTTAATTTTCATGAATTTGGGGTGGTTGAAAAAATATCATTCCTTGTTTCTTTTCTTCTGGGGGTAATACCGGACTCTGATAAAGTTGTAGAGTAGAATGAGCGTCCTTGGCCCCTTTCCTGCCCTGTCCCACAGTCTGGTGTGGGCCTCTGATAGCTCTTCTTTTGTTCCTTTTCTCATCGCCTGTATTCCCAGGGGCAACATGGTATTCTTCCATTTGTAGAGTTTTACCTGGGCAAGCTCCTCTTCAAAGGAACAACTATCGGAGCCTTCCCCAGTCTTTTCTCTTAGGGCCCTGGCTGACCACAGGTAATCCAAGAAACTGCTTTGATTAATGGACTGGGACAGTGGGATAGCCATTCTAAGTGATGTTTCTGTAGATTAATAGGGGCCTTATTAATAAAATTCTAGAGCACAAAAAATGACTAAAGTAGGAATTTCAAGGACAATTTAAAGGGTGCTGGAGGTAAGATGACGTTTTCAGAAAGAACAATCTTTCAGGGTCTCATACCACTTACTCGGTAGGTCTTTGTTGCCTTGTCTGCGCTAAGATTGGCCCTGGTCATACGATGCTGATAATGGGCTCACTGCGTTCTCACAAACAGAATGTATTTGACCTTATGAATATTTTGGGTCTGAAATGTCCCCTTTCAATCATCAACACAAGAAATGTGTATCAACAACAGAACCTGTAGCCCTAACATCTCAGGAGAAATGAGCATGTGAACAGTTTCCCTACACACTCGATTAATTTGATACTGATGGAAAAATATGGTGTGAGGATTAAACGGGGAGCTAACTCCAACTGCACTGTTGGAGATGGCGAAATCGGTTGCCCTGACTTCTCTAGTTCGGGATGCAGACTGTGACAGGAGAGACGTTCCTACCTGGAAGTACCTTCGCCCACTTCACAACTTGGATCATCTGTTTGCCTGCTAAGCGGTTTAGAGTGGAGAGCAGGTTCTCAGCGGTGTCTGGTTTTGAGCTGTCATAGCCTGCATACACAATCTCAGGCTCGATGTTCTCAAGGATCATAACAGGGGAAGGCGTGAGTGCTCGTGAGATCGTGGAGAGCTGAGGGACCAGCGCTGTGTTGACTGAGGGCTCTTTTGCGGGAGGGATGTACGTCGTCCCTTCCTCGGGGCTCTGTGGGGGCGGGGGTGGGGGTTGCTGCTGCTGGGACTGTTCCTCGTGAATACCTTTCAACTTGCCCAACTTCTTTGACTTTCGTGCTGTAAAAAATTATAAACAATAAGGGTAAATTAAGATTATGTTGGGGATACATCACACGAGGTAAGTTACAATTAAACACTGACTTAAACTGATGACTTTCTTTGAAAGAGGTCTTGCCACACTAACAGAAATAGTCCCTTGTCAGTATTTTTCTAATACCAGGCACAGTCCTATTTCCTATCCATTAAGCAATTTAGCAATTTTATGAATAGGTACTATTAAGATTCTTATTCTATAAGGAAACAGACCAGAGGGTTAAGAAATCTAAGATCACACAGTTAACACATGATAGAGATGGGAGTTCAGAGGAAGGAAAATTATTTTGTATGCCAGTGAGTTACATATGCCGCAGTTAAATCTTACAGAAACCAGTAATTCCCGCTATTACCCACCAGTGAGTTGCCAACAAGTGCCAGAATGGGTCTTACGATTCCAGTGCTGTCTCTGCTCCCTCTAATTAGCTCTCCCTGGCCCCTTTACTAGTTCTTCTTGGTGCCTCTCTACCACGTTTCCTGTTCTGGTCCATGTGCGATTGCTGGCTTCTGCACTTATTTCGTGTAAATGCTGCTGGGGCTACGTCCCCAGCTGTACTGAGAAGCCCTGAAACACAAAGCCTGGGTGTCCCTCCTCGTTTACAGCCCTCTGGCCTCTGGGTAAATGTTGCACTTGGAGACGGGGATGTGCAGATTTCCACTGAATTAATGGAACAGCAATTAATCCCAAAGCAAGGCAACAAAAGGGAATAAATTAAGTATCTGGATGATTTCAAATGAGAGAGCTAGCTACTATATGTACAGGAATTAATGCTACAAAAAATCAGGTTTAAGTTACACCAATACACCCATATAAAATCTTTAAAAACCTGTCTCACTATTTTTGATATAAACCATTCACTTATCATATAATCTAGAAATAAAAAAATACAATACTATAATGGAATCCTACTTTAGATTTTTAGGAGAACATATTACGTACAAGTGACCTTATGTTCTGATTTGCTGAGAACAGTCCTGGTTTATGCTGGTTTTCTCAGCATGATTACCAGAAGCACCCTGTTTACTCTTAGGAGTGCCAAATTTTGGACAATGAATATAATGTGGTCATTTTAATGAAAACCAAAGGGTCAGTATTAAGTTTAATAACAACTGTTTTTCTTTCTCATTTCCTTCAAGGGCTTTTGAAACAGACAATGAGAAATGAAAGACTGGGGAGGTGGAAGGGAGACTAGAAGGCAGATGGGAGAACTGGGGGGTGGACGCAGCTGCATGGGGGTGGATGGAGAGATGGACAGATAACCAGGAAGATGGATGGATGACTGAATGGATAAAAAGGAAAGAAGCTTAGAAATGCCAAACTAAACTTAGAGCTATGGTGATAACTTATTTGCAAATGCAAGGTTTCCAATTTTACTAAATACTTTATTTCAAAATTCTTCAAAGACCAGCTACCTTCTACTTAGTTCTAACACATAAGGGACTTCTAGAATACAAATTTAATGTAAACTAGAAATATGCCACACTAATTAACTTGATTGTAAAAAACAATCATTCATGATTACAACTGTGGCCATTAATATTGACCACATTCATTACAGAAACACGATTTAGGTATAAGACAAGTCACTGGCCAATGACAGATCTATCTGCCACACATCCATTAAATAGTGGAACTGGGCTTAAAAGATATAATTCCTATCCTTAAGGAGTTTAAAATTAGCAGAACAATTTTAAAACAGTCATTTTAAATCATTTCACTTCTTTATAGACTGTCTCCTTCAATAAAAGATATGTGTCAGAAAAATCTGATTTTTCAGAATTGCTTCAATGAAAAGCAAATGTGTCATAGTCACATATGCAAATGGGAAGCTGCAAACGAGGTCTGCCCAGGGGTGCTGAGCTTACAGTGGAGAACTCAGATGCTTCTGAGGATTAGATGAGTGAGAGACCACTAAGAAATCAGCCAATTGCCTCACCAAGAGCATATAGTGATCATTTGGGGAATCAGACATTTCAAACGGCCTATGTCACATAAACTTTTCTCTAAGCCTCAACTGAGTCATCTGAAAAATGGAGATGATGGGGCTTCCCTCTCCTATCTTGCAGAGGGCTAACTGGGGAAAGAAAAATAAAACCATGTTAGAAATTATTACTAACATCTGAAAAAATATTTTTCTTACTTTTTTGATATAATATTTCAACAGTACTTCCATTCTTTCCAAAATTTTGCAAATATTTAAAATATTCCGGTTCATTAAAATGTCCTCATTCATTTTAAGACTACATCTGATGATAACCATAATTTGATTGACTAGGAATAGCCAAGGGTTATATTTTCAACTTTTATTAAAAGTGATATTTGCTTGCAAATTAATTATAAAACTCATATTTGTTTTAGGCCTTAGGTCTATCATGCTGTGTTTATTCTCCTGGCTGATTTAAGGTCAATGCCATGAAATATCAAAAAGAAGAGAGCCTAAGGTTTTCTCTAGCACTTATCCACAAGACTATGTCCTGTAGCATAAGCTAGTGAGCAGATTATCAACATTCTGTTTGGTATTTCAGGTATATTTAACTTTACCCTGTGATTTTGTTAACATATGTGGGACACACTTGGAATCGAGTAATACTCCATATTTATTTAAATAGCTCAGGGTAATATTTTCAGTGTGCACATTTTGCAGCATGTATATTCGTCCAATATCTTTTCTAAAAGTACAGGGAGTTACATAATTAATTACACTTTTATTACTCAAAGTAGCCTTTCTAAAACACTGGAAAATTTTATGCTGCTCTTCTAATACATGCTGTTTTCTAAAATGAAAGCTCCTAAAAGTTGGTAATAGTGTCTTATGTGTTCCTATAACATCCTCTCGATGATGCTTATGGGTACTCAATAAATGTTGAATTATTTCAAACTCAAATTTTAATAAACTTGAACAAGTTATTATACTTTAGTAATGGAGTTACACTACACGGCTTCCCTTCTAATCCTTTTCTCTTTGTCTAATTTGCATCATTTTTATACTTTAAGATTAGCACAAGCTTCAAGTCCAAGTGTATAATTAAGATGTTTGCTAATTACCCAGGAAAATCTTTTGCCAAAGATCCTTAATAAGCATGTTTCCATTATCCAAAGCATCAGTGAACATAAATTTGGGGTCTTAACACTGCTTACCAACCACCTTACTAAATTACTGTGGAGCTAATGGGTGTTGGGCTTGGGAACGCATGTGTCCAGGTGGCCAGAGCCTACTTCATTTCTTGAGTGCCAATGACAGCTGTGGGGGGGGGTGCGCACGTGCATAGTGTGGGGGGAGGTGCAGTAACGTGACTGTGAACATGTCCCAGTCCCACTTAGGCCTAAAGGAGTTTCTCTTGTTCTACCTGGAAGTTACAGTAACTAGGATGTGCTTATAGGCAGCCCTCGGCTGCCAAGTCCTTAATTACTAACAGCATCTTGGCAGCCACTTTTTCCTGGCAATGCTGGGAGACAGAACTCTTAGATTCTCCATGAATTGCTCCCCCAGGATCTGTGCAAAGGGGAGGCCCTGCTTCCCATTCTGAACAACATGCAGAAGCAAGCAGGGAACATCTGGCTGGACCTTCTAAAAAGTGTGAAAAACTCCCAATGAGTTCTAAGGATTCGCAAAGGCCTTAAACATAGCATGGCAAGACTTCCTTTTTGGTCTACTCTCTCTTCTGAGGCTGACAGGATCTGCAAGATACCTTTTTGACAAACTTTTGGGGGAGTAGTATGATGGCCAGCTAGGATTTCTGTCATTTTTGTATCTCACAGTAAAATGAGGGGATAAACAAGGTTCTCATAGTACTTTCATCGTGATCTTTCTCAAGTACTAATTACCCTAGAAATGGGTAATTAGCACGGCTTTTTTTTTTTTTTCTTTCCTTATTCTTCTTCTGGAGTAGAATAAAAGACCAGGATGGGATTTTTTTCAATCACAACATTTCACTGGAAAAATTTAAAGTGAGAATTCTGTCATTTTAGAGAAGCTCCATGCTATGTCTTGAAATTCTAGGTCTCGGCAGGAAATATTAGAGAGGATATACTCAGGTTATGTGAAAACATGGATTTTCTGTTCACAGACCAAATGTAACTTCTGGATTGAACCCACAGGACAGTAACGGTACCCATCCCGTCATCCCTCCTTTAACAGACCATTTCTCTTGTCACCCTCTCATTGGTCATGTTTTCCTACCCTCCTCATCCTCTTTATTTGCATGGCTGCTCTTTGCCTTTCTACTGCCAGAAAAGGCCCACTCAGGAGCCGGGAGGACAACCAAATATCTCTGTCGTAAAAGCAAATGAGGGAATGTCATCTTTCTACAGGTTTAATTGGTTTTGCAGCAAAACCTCTCTCATCGGTACTAACAGGAAAAAGAGCATCTAGTATTCACGAGGCTGGATGCTGGGGTGAGCGACCAGCACCCCGATTTATGACTAAATGATTAGCTTCTCAATTGATAATAAACAAGCAGCATTTCAATTGTTTATAAATACTCCTTGAGTGGTTGAAGAACTTGAAAACAGGGTGTTTTAAAAATTATCTCTAAACATTCTCATGTTAATATACATAACTTAAAAAATTAACAGACATTGTTTATGTTAGCAACACATAAAATACGCCATGGCAAACTCAAACCCAACTTGTGACCACTTTAAAAAACATTATACACACACACACACACACACACACACACACACAATGGTAACCGTAAGAGGTGATGGATATATAGTAGCTTGTGGCAATCATTACACAGGTATATCACAATATCACCTAGTACACATTAAATATAAATAATCTTTTATTTGTTAATCATAACCTCGGTAAAACTGGGGAAAAAAGATGATCCAAATTAGTGGATCTCCACATATTAAATTTTAATGTGTGTACAAATATACCCACAGATATCTTTACATCTATAATAGACATAATTTTGTTGCTGATAGAGATCTTGTTTCTTCATGACTTAGCCAGTGA